TTGTACATAGGGTCACTATGAGTCACAAGCAACTTGATGGCACATAACAGCAACAAGTTTAAATGTAAATTAAATAACAAATATATAGAAAGATCAGATTTTAACATTATTTTCCACAGGTTCAAAGCATTTCAGCAGAGCAGAGGAAGACTACTAATAGTTTTAAAGAGATTTTGTTGAAGTCATAAAAGCAGTGATAAAAATGTACAGGTAGCATTGCCTCCTACCTCTTAACAAACAATGAAAAACTAATTTAATTCCACCTCTGGGGCAATAATTTTCTCCACTGCTTTATTTCCTTGCTATAAAAAGAGTGAAGGCTCTTCTGGACCTTGAGGACAGATCCATCCTCTCTGTCCCTATTTCCAATGCACAGTCAGGGCACCTGGCTCATCCCCCAACTCCTCTCCTTTGTATTCTCACTACAGGGAGTAATTTTTATACGAGGTGACTAGTTTAAAATTTGTTTTCTGGGTTCCTGAGTATAAGCTCTGCTTTTTGTTACGATGTAGCCACATCACTTTGGCTGATCTCCAGTTTCCTTATCTACATAGTTGAGGTTATGAAGAGTTTTTTGTTTTGTTTTGTTTTTTTCTAAACATACACCCAGACTACTCTTGGGTTGATTCAGACTTACGTCAATCCCCCGCTAGGTTTCTGAGGCATTCAACCTAGAAAGGAAGAAGCTGACTCATCTTTCTCCCACAGAGCAGTTGGTGGATTCTAACTGCCAAACTTGCTGTGAACAGTCCAACATATAACATATTGCCACCAAGGAGAGATAAATATCATTTCTCTCTCTTTGTTATGTTGTTGGAACCAACTCATTGTTCATCCTCCAGTTAATGTCCTAGACTGTGGCTGGACACAGAGACCACAGCAATAGACTCAAGCTATCTAAGATGATGAGAACAGAAAAGGATAAATCAGGGTTCAGATCCATTGTTCATAGGGTTGCGATGTGTTGTGACACCTAACAACAAAAAATCTCAAGGGAAGAGAGTGTTCTTTTTCTCAAAGCTGGTGGATTTGAACCACTACAGAGGATGGCATATACCTTTGAGTTAGCAGTGAAACTTCATTTGGACTATATCATAATCTGTACATATATGAATACACACACATATACACATTTATACATACATGACAAGCCAATGTACCCTGGTGGCATGCTACTTTCCGTGTCATGCTGCTAACAAAATCTAATTGTTCCCAAACTGTCCATGACAAACGCATACTGATTATTGTTGTTATGTGCCGTCATATCACCTGCAACTCATTATCGACCCTATATCCTGAGCCAGTATCACTGACTCTGGTACATCTATCCCCATTGTCCTAGTTACTGTGTCAATCCATCTCATCTGGAATCTTCCTCTCCTGCGCTGTCCTTCCATCCTTGAGAGAATGATGTCCTCCTCCAAGGATGGTCCATCCTGGCCACATGCCCAAAGTACGCGAGATGGAGCTTCAAAATCCTAGCCTCCAAGGAGAAACATGGTTTCACCCTCTCCAAGACAGAGTTATTTGGGGGTTTTTTTTTGGTGGTTCTTGATGTGTTCAAGACTCTTCTCTAGCACCGCAACTCAAAGGCATCAATTCTTCTAGCATCCTTAGTCATTATCCAGCTCTCTGATGCATAGGAAGTAATCATGAAGACCATGGACTAGATCAGGGGCAACTTAATCTCTAGGCTGACATCACTGTTTCTCAGTACTCTGGAAAGGTCCCTGACGACACATTTGCCTAATACTCTAAGATAAATTTTGACTGGTCTAGCACTCCACCATTGAGTTTGTCTAAGATAATTCAGTCAGTACCTCATAGACTACAGTGACTGTCTATGCCATAGATAGATCCAGTTTCGTGTTTTATGCTTAGAGGCAGTCATTGTTTCTTTATAGCCTTGTGTACATTTCCCCTTAAGCCTTTATAAAACTTTCAAAGTCCTAAAATATTTTCACCTTAAGTCTTAAAAGACATGAAGTATATACTTTGTAGACCATCCTTTTGCACCACATCACTGAGAATCTTAACAAGGGTATGTTGTTGCTGTGTTGCTGATTGCCTTTGAGCCGAGCATGACTCATAGCGACCCTATGAACAAAAGGCCTGAAGCCCCTCTACAACTATCGACATTTTTCAAAGTTCAGACAGTTTCCGAAGACATGTTAGTTAGGAAGTGGATGCCACTTTTGCTTAGAAGCAAACCTGTCATAGTATTTTATTGTTGTTACGTGCCATTGAATCACCTGTGATGTATAGTGACCCTATGTACAGCGACTCTGGACCATTCCCTATCCTGAGCCATACTCACTAATTCCAACACACCAACCCCCATTTCCCAATTACTGTATCAATTCATCTCATTCAGGGTCTCCCTCTCTCGTACTGTCCTTTCTGAGCATGATGTCCTTCTCCAAGGACTGATCTCTCCTAGACAAATGCCCAAAGGAAGTGAGGCAGAGCTTCAAAAATCTAGCCTCCAAGAAAGATTTGGTTTCACCCTTTCCAAGACAGACTCATCTGTTTTTTTGGCAGTCCATGGTATGTTCAAGACTCTTTTCCAGCACTACAACTCAAAGCCATTAATTCCTCATCTGTCATCCTTAGTCACTGTCCAACTCTCTGAAGCATAACAAGTAAATGAGAAGACGAAGGCCTGGATTAGGCACACCTTTGTATCTAGACTTACATTCTTGCTCTTCAACACTCTGGAAAGGTCCATGACAGCAGATTTTCCCAATGCAATTCATCTTCTGATTTCCTGTCTGCTGGGGTTAATTAAGAGTGTTGATTGTGGATCAAGCAATTTGTAATTACTAACAACCTCAATCTCTTCTCCATCTATTATGGTGTTGCCA